CCCAACGCAACTTGTCTTTTGATTTCCTGATTGTTAGTGCCCAGAATGTTGATTGTGGATCCAAGCAAGATGAAATTGTTAACAACCTTCTTTGTCATGATACTATTAGCCTAGTGGTAAGAATCTTTTTTCTTGCTGTTGCCATGTGTACTCAAGAGAAGGAGCACTGGTGGTGGTTAGCTGCTTCTAACTTCAAGGTCAACAGTTCAAATCCCCAGCACTCTGAAGGAGAAAAATGAGGCAGCCTGCTTCTGTCCAGATTGTCCTTGAACCCAAAGGAGCAATTCTACTCTGTCCTGTAGGGTCACTACCATTCAGATAGACTCATCAGCAGTGGGAGCAAGTGGGGGTGGGAGGGACTATATTCAGCTTAGATTTTTGTTGTTATTCAGTCCTGATTGCAATAATCTGAATGTATGAAATTTTAGATGACAAGGTGCTTCAGAACAGCTTGGTTTGTTGTGACTCTCCCAACATACAAAAGTCTAAACTCATTTTTAAATGAACAGGAGTAGACAGTCCTGTTCCTCTGACATCTGTGCCAGGCACACTATACCTCTCACACAGTAGCAAGCTCTATTAAAGTTTACTGAAGAGTTTATTGACACTTGCAAGTGATAGTTTATTTGTACTTATGCAGATTTGCAACTCTGCTGGGAAAGATTGGGGGGTCAGAGAAAGAGGAAAAACGCTCAACAAGATGGATTGACAGTGACTGTAACAGTGGCCTTGAGCAAATCAGAGATGGGAGGATGGCACAGGAGAGGGCAAGGTTCAAATCTGTTATTCATAGAGTAACTAAGTGTCATAATCGACTCGATGGCACCAAACAACAAAATCTGCTCTAGATCCTGTATGTTAAATCAAGCTAAAATATGGCTTTATAATCAAGGTGGTTAAGGATGTATGAAGTTCTACCTCAAGAAAACAGATCCTGGTAGGATTCTACCTAGTCACTGCAAATACCATAGTGGTCAGCCAAACAGCTATGTAAGGCAGTCATTTGAAAAAGAGGCTTTTGTGGAGTTTTATTCCCTCATTCAGGTAATATTTGAGACCAGGCAGCTAACAGATGCTATGAATATAGCAGTACATAGCTGCTGATAAGAACTGGTAGCCTGGGAGTGTCTTATTAAACTCAGAACCCCTTGGTCACTGGCGTTTGCATCAAGTAACCATCAGTCCACATTTATTATAGGAATGTTAGGCCTGCCCTGCTTGAGAATGAGGGCATAAAGAATGCTCCTTAAAAGCGAGGGTGGCGACAAGCTCTGGTGGCCTAGTGGCAAAGTGTACTGCAATCCCAGAGGTGCATGGTTCAAATCCACCAGATGCTCTGCTGGAGAAGGAGGAACAATCTCCTCCTGTACCAGTCAGATCTGATTTGACGGTACACACACGCGCACACACACGCACACACACACGCGCACACACACGCACACGCACACACACGTACACACACACATGTACACACACACACACACACAAATAATAAAAAAAATTTTAAAAGAGTGAGGGTGGCTTGTACTTTGGACTTATAATTAGGAGGATGAGAGCACAAGATCAGTGCAAAAGAGGCAGACTAACGAGGTGGATTGAGACAATGGCCACAGCCATGAGCTCTAATACAGCAATAAGGGTGTGTTAGGACGGTTTAGAATGTGACCAAATGTTCTGTTACGTCTCGGAATCAGTACAGACATGATAGCATCAGTGGTGATCTGTCGTCAGTGTTTTACCTCAAGTCAGTGAACTATAACTTTGTGAATTGTGGCGGTCACACTTTTCTGAGAAGGGCATTTCAGATCCATGTACAATTGATTTCTACCTTATGTACTGAACTGTACCTCTTCCTACTTTAACACCTGCTTTTCATCTGTCTAGGCAGATCTCCTTACTTCTCTGGGCTCTGATTTCTGTATCTGAACCCTTGTTTGTTTCCTTTTATAATCTATATTTCCCTCTTAATCTACCTGCCCTTTGTAATTCCTCTCCATTCTTTGCACCAAGCTCAGGTTCTCCATCTGCCCTTAAATCCTTAATTTTTCCTCCACTTCTGAACTTTGATACTCCCTAAGCCATTTAATAGATTACACTGTCTTGTATGATATAACCTTCTAACTTCTTTTCCCCTCAGACAATCTCTTTCTTTGTTTTTTACTCTGTCATATATTTTGTTTATATGGAATTTATCAGGACCACAATTGCTATATTTCTTTCCACCTCCACAAGAAGAGTAAGGAGTATATCTATCTTGTGCACTTTGAGATCCACAGTCCATAGGTCAATTAAATGCTACATAGTGAGCTCTTTAAGAAAAGTTTTTGATTAACTAATTCACTTCCTAAATACATTGTTAAATGCATGTATTTTAGAAACTCTGTGGCTAGTTCTCTTTCTCACCCAGTAGGTTCTTAAATTGAGTACATTTGTCTTTCACAATGGAAAAAGGAAGGTATAGGCCTGGACAAGTTAAACTGCTTTTCTCAAACTCCCATTTCTACTATTGAGGCTGAGGCAACAGCAATGAATATGGGAAACACAGCTTGAGTAAGACTCGCGGCTCACAGGTGGGGGCTTTCCGGGGAGTAGTCCCCTAAGCTTTCACCACCACTTAGCAGTTTCTCCTCCCATCCCATACCCCCTTAACCCCGCAGTCCCCCCACCTGCCTTCCCCTTGCAATCTCTCTTTCTCTTCATGTATAGGATGCTTGAAGCCTGGAGGATGACAAAGGGTAAAATTGAAAAGTAGGTGGGCGAAGAAAGGAAAGATAGAGGACTGCCTACAGTGACTTTTGCTAGGTTCAGTGTTCTTGAAGAGATGATTATTGGAATTATCAAAGTTTAATAGCAATTTTTGGAAGAAGGAATGGCATCCACTTCCTAAACAACATGCCTCCAGAAACTCTATGACCTTTGATAAATGTTGATAGTTGTAGACAGGCTTTTTGTTTATAGGGTCGCTATGAGTCATGCTTGACTCGAAGGTAATCAACAATAGCAAGTTCATATTTTTGTTGTGTCTCAAGTGATAACACTCAAAACTCAGTGCTGTCAAGAGGGAACCAATTTGATTCCAGTGATTCTCCATCCCTTTCTGAGGCTGTAAAGCACTTAGGAGAGTGTCTTTCTTTCTCACGAGGAGCTGCTGCTGGATTTGAATCTCCAATCCTGGAGAAAGACATTATGCTGGGAAGAGTAGAGGGTCAGTGCACCAGAGGAAGATGAGTGGCTGGACACTGTGATTGCGACAGTAGCTTAAGGACAGCGCAGGACCGGGCAGGCACAGAGGTCCTACCCCACAGCATCCAGGAACAACAGTGACTTAGATTAGTGTGCACCTAATACAAATAACAGATATTGCCTTCCTTTACCCATCTCCGGGTTTCTAATTAAAGTCAAGTTTAAAACCATTGCCTAATACCTTGAAGTAATTGCTTAAGCCAGATTAAAGGGCTTCAAGGAGTACAATCTCAGGCAGTTTTGGACTCTACAGCTGACCTGCACACCTGTTATAAAGCTTACCTTTGTACCCTGGCATGAAGCAAGAATGGTACTGGTGCTCACCCTTGAACTTCCCCAGCAATCAGAGTTATCCCCATGTGTTAAAGGCCTCCCAGCCCATTGTCCTTGAGTCAATACCAGCTCATGATGACCTCTATCAAATTTCTGAGACTGTAAATCTCAACCAGAGCAGACAGCCTCATATTTCTCTTTAAATCTGTTGGTGGCTTTGAACTATCAACTTTTCCTCTTCCAGCTCAGTGTGGAGTGTACTACCCCACCAGAGCTTCATTAGCAGCCACAGTGAGTATGACCTCCTCTTTCTGGATAGATTACCTTGTTTCATTCTCCTGTAAGGGCACTCTCATGGCCTAGTTGCAAGAATCTGCACTGTAATCCCAAAGGCATGTGGTTCAAGGCCACGAGCTGCTCTGCAGGAGTAAGTAAGATGGACATTATGCTCCTTTGCTATTAACAGCCTCTTAAAACTCTCTGGAGGGTCAGCTATAGGTCAGTTCTGACTCTGTGGTACACAACAACAGCACTCATGTGGCTGAGAACGGGCTAGGCCATCTAACTGGAATGTGTAACGGAGCGAGTCCCCAAAAAGATCACCGAGCCAATTAGCTGAATTAAGTTTGTTTCGAGTTCGAACCCGGGCTCCGGCATGCTGACACAGCAGCATCCAGCTGAGAGCCCCGAATTGATGTCTGCCCCTCCTTTTATACCTCTGCTACTCCCCTGCCCAACCATACATGCCATGATTAGCCATCCACAGTAGTTTGGGTATTTGTCCACCTTCAATTGGCTAGCCATAGCTCAGGGTAACAGTTTGGAAACCTATTTGAATCTTATCAGTTACTTGAGATACAGGAATGCAGAAAACTTGTGCTCTTACAGAGAAGTTGCTGTTGTTGTTGTTATGTGCCATTGAGTCCCTTGCGACTCATAGCGACCCTATGTACAACAGTCCTAAACTCCGCTCTGTCCTGTGCCAATCGCACTGTCTCTGACACTCCCATCCCAATTATCCCAGTCACTGAATCAATCCACCTCATAGAGGGCCTTCCTCTCCTGCGCTGTCCCTCCACCCTCCCAAGCATGATGTCCCTCTCTAAGGACCAGTCCCTCCTCACAACATGTCCAAAGTATGTTAGAGCCTCAGAATCCTTACCTCTAAGGAGCCACCCGGTTTAACCCTTTCCAGGATAAATCTGTTTGTTTTCCTAGCAGAGAAGAATTCCACTCCATGGCAGTTGATCAATCAGGGTGGGATTTACCACAGGTGGGGGTTGTTTTTTAAAAAACCACTCAAGCGGGTGGGGATAACTGTACTCCACCAGAGTTTCTGATAACGGGCTCTTTTTTATCTATGAGGAAATACAGGAAATCTTTCCAGATAAGTTCTGATAGTTTTTGTAAAGTGCAATGTGATTTCTGTAAAATTTCTATTTTTAATACCAAAGCAGTCTTACTGTTTGCCTTCCAGGACAATCATGTTTGAAATTAAGAAGATCTGCTGCATCGGGGCGGGCTATGTCGGGGGACCCACGTGCAGTATCATTGCTCATATGTGCCCAGATATCAGGGTCACAGTCGTTGACGTCAATGAATCGAGAATCAATGCATGGAACTCACCGACACTTCCTATTTATGAGGTAAATGGTATTAAGCAACTCTTTGTTCTTTTGCTCTTTGTTCAGTTATGTATGTGCACTATTAAAATCTATGGCTTTAACTGATAAATTACAGCAGTTCTGGACACAAAATGTGGTGGATGGACATTACAGTGACAGTCACAATCATGTCGAGTATGCCCAGGAGAAGTGACTGGGAAGAAGTGTATAAAACTATTAATGATGGCTGTGAACTATGTTATGTCAGTCGTCAAAGTTCCCTGAGACTGTGGCACAGAGTAACTCTTTTTGTTTTGTTGTGGGTTTTGGTTGGGTTTGGTTTGGTTGTTTTGTTTTGTTTTTCCCTGTAAACGGTTTATTTCTCCTGACGGGCTTCCTGGGAGACAGAAGGGCTTGGCCACAGACCAGTGCAGGTGAGTGTGGCCCTCTGCGAACATGCCATTGCCCCAGCCAGTATTGGTGGCGTTCATGTCACAGTAGTTGTAGACCTTGTCGGTGCTGGGAAAGCAGACCACACAGCAGCTTGCCATAGGCTGGGTTCCTTGCACCACCAATCTTGGCTTTGCTGTTCAGGCTGCAGAGCGCACATGGGTCGTGTGAGCCACCAAGCCTGGAAATGGCCTTAGACCAGATGCACCGCGATGCACAGGGTCGGTTTGCTAGTGGCCTGAGCCAGCTGCTGGGTGAACTCCAGAACAGCCCGTTGGGCACAGGTGCGAGCCACACTGGTGTTTACTGTGAACATCAGCTTGATGGCCGAGAGTGGTGAGTGTGGTGACTGCAAGCCTGGCATTGGCACGGAATTACTCTTCTGTGCCTCAGATTTAGGATTAAAACAAACAGAAAAATCTCTGTATGTAGGTAGTGTACATGATAGATGTAAGATGATAGATCTATAGTAGGTTTTCCCCCCAGTTCCTCCTCTTATCTATTCCTTTTCCCCCTCATTGGTTTGGTTACATAATTCATATACATTGTACCTCACACTCTTCTTCACTCATATTGTATTTCATACAATCATTCTCATGCATTATGTTTTATAAAATTACCATGGGAGCTCTGGTCTAGTGGCAAGAAGCTGTGCTTCAATCCCAGAGGCATGCAGTTCAAATCCACCAGATTCTCTGTTGGAGAAGGAGAGGCAAAGGCAATCTCCTCCTGTACCAGTCAGATCTGATTTGATGGCACACACACTAAAAATAATAAAATAAAATAAAAAAAAAAAATGAATCACCATGAACTTTGCCCATCATTACCCTGTCTTTTCTCCCAGATCCTTCCCATTTCCTTCTGCTTTCCCTCCACCCCCAAACTGCAACTCTGTGGTTTTTTAAATTGCCTCAGGATTTCATCACTCTAACATCATTACTCTACTAGGAATAGAGTTCTCCTTGAAGAAAGACATCTTGGAGAGTGATGGTGAAAAAGAGGAAGACCCTCAGCCAGAGGGATTGACAGTGACTGCAACAGTGGGCTCAAGTGTGTCAGAGGTTGTGAGGATGACAGGATAGGACAGAGTTTAGATCTGTTGTTCATAGGGCCGCACCTACAACAACAACAA